TCTCCATTGGTGTTGGTTGTTGTGCCATGATATTAGATAGCAGCATAGAACTTCGTACTATAGATTGAGCTCTACAATTTTTGAAATCTATAGCATCGATCTTCTTTGCAATCCAAATTGTCTCTTTGAATGTTTGTGGATTCCTTAGCTCCACTTCTTGATAGATCCGAGGTTTCAAATCTTGTAGAAATTGATCCATCATCTCTGCCTTAGAAATATTGGCAATTTAAAGATATAAGAACTTGAATGACAAGACATAATCTTATACTGACTTAGCTTGAGTAAGATTTTTCAATTGATTGCATGCTATCTTCTTTGGATTGTTAGACCAAAATTGATTCTTAAACTCGGTTTCAAATTCCTCCCAGTGACAAAATCTACCTTGAGCTCCATAGCTTTGAATTCGGTGTTGCGACCAAATGGCTCCCACATCTCTCAAATAGCTAGCTTCAAATATAATTCCTTCAGTGGTATTTGTGTTGGATAGTTGGAGCTATTGTTGCATGTTGAAGAGCCATTAACATACATTTTCTTGTCTTGAAGTTCTACAGTATGTATTAGGCTTATTCAATTTCAATGTAGCAGATGTCGACTTTTTTGTCGTCAAGGCTTCTATTTGTCCTTATAAAGTAGCTATCTTGCTTAAAAGATGTTGTATTTGAGCCTCCGTTTGGGATTGCTCTACCATATCTCCCATACTATAATTTCTCCAATGAACTCCACTATTATAATGCCTTTTTATCTTTTGATTGATTTTTTTTAAAAGTAACTTCATTAGCTTCAACACAATATCTAGTGTGACTACAATAAGTGACCTTAGACTAGATGATAACTATTAATATGCTATCAAAAGTAAACAATCTAACTCTTTTTTTAATACCAATGAAACAAGACCAAATTATTTCAAAAACCCAAGATCGTTCTAATTCACAACAATATAAAGCTTTAGCATAAAATAAGACAAAACAAATGAGAACAAAATTAAAAAAAACTAAAAATAAAATAAAATAGGACATGTAAGAAAAAATTGAGGAAATAGAAATAGAACAAAATAAAATTGAACATAAAGATGCAAAATCAAATTTCACTAAGAGAAAGGGTCCAAAGCCATACTTGACTAGATGCTCCAAAAGACCTTAGCTAGTCCTATTTAAACCTTATCCTATCACCATAGACTTTCTAGAATGTTTATAGGTAATAGGCTTTACTTAGATAATTCCATTAAATTCCTTTTATAAAAGGTTCTATGATAAAAACTACCTAGATAATCACTTTAAATTCCTTTTTTAGATGGTTTATGGTAGACACTACCTATATAATTATTTAAAGCCTTTTCTAGAGGTTCTATCGTGGATCTCATTTAAATAACTATCTTAAATTAGAATATTCTATAATAGATCCTACCTAGTCTATTAACTTAATTCTAATTCTAAAAACTTCTATAGTTCTAACTATCTATACAATTATCTTATCTATACTATGTTACAACCATGGTCTTTTGTTTCTATGGATTTTATCATGGATCTTCTAATTTTAGGTTTGTATGATACTATTGATGGCTAAGAAGTACTATCAACCATCTTTGAATAGAACAAGGATCAAAGTATGTGGCAAATATAATTTGGCCCATCTTAGATTTCTTCAATATATAATGACTGCTCCTTGTGGAACTCATCCATAGAAGAAGGAATAATGTCACGGATATACATATTTACTATAATATTTATCTATATGATTAAGTAAAAATAGATAAAAGTAGATTTATTTCATGATATTTTCTAGAAAAGCTCCCTAAAAGCTTTATAGACATTGCTTTGTCTTTATATTTGTTTATAGTTAATTGATAAGATAGAAACTTACTCAATAAGTTAACCATGTATTGGTAGCTTATAAAACAAGCTAAATATGTGGCGTACATATGAAAAATTTACCTTACAAGTTAAGATATGTGTTTTGCAAAGTCAACATATTTTGGAGGTCTTATAAGATATCGCCACATAGGTCCTAGTTAAAAGTGTATATGGAGGTAAGAATGAAGCCTTCTTCATTCTTGTCAATGCCTTCTAGTCCTTAGTCTTGTTTCAAGACTTTCTAGTTTTCATCAATAGCCATTCTATTCTAATACTATACCATCTTTCAATGACTTTCTAATTCTTTTGAATGATATAGGAATGTATTGAAGATTTCTTTTTTTAAGCTTCATGTTCTTCATAGCTTGTTACTACTACCAATTGAGTTTAAGTTTTTTGGATTGCAATAATGTTGGCAAATAGGGGCTAGTGATATTCAAAGCAGATTATTAAATCTTATCATTTAGAAAAAAAAAAAAAGTTGTAGGAAGGTTTTTATATGTGAACATATTAAAGGATTATAGCACAAACAAAATTACAAACAATTCTTTTATAAATATTTTATTCATACAAACTATTGTTAGTAATTAGACTTATTTTTGTCTTACAAAAGTATAAGCAAAGGTAAGCTCAAATACAAACACTATCCAATGATTTTTATATTTTTTTGATTGAATTTATATAAAGATCCTAATCTTCTTCTTTTACTTCCTTCTTTGTAAGTTGAGTAGAAAAGAGGTTTAAATTGGAATTTTATGCATATCTTATTGTGATAATATCTTATTTGATATTTTTAAAAATTATATATTTTTAGTTTTGAGCAAAATAATACTTTTTTATTGATAAAGAATAAAAATTATATAAAAAATAGGAATAAAAAATTATAAAATAATCCAATTATTTTTTTAAAAATTTTATAATTTAATAAAAAAATATATCATTTTATTTCTTTATATGTATAAAAGAATCTTTGATTTATTTTCAGTTTTGATAAAGTTTTTAGGATTTAGGATCAATTAATAAATCTTTAATATAAAGAAATTATTACAACTACCATAAATGTGTACAAACGTCTATGTCATATCTACATATGTAAAATTAGTTTTTAAACCTTATATATCTTTTAATATAAGGAAAAATTTATACCTGAATATTTATTTTAAAAGACCATGATTTAGAATTTTCTTTGTAGAAAAAAGTCCTAATATAGAAGCATTAAACTTTAGATAGAATATAAAGTGAATGATTCATGTTACAAATGTATTATAGGTTGCTACCATCATATCCAATAAAATAAAAGGCCTTTGGTTTATTGGTTAGTTGTTGTATGGAACTTGACACATGCAATAATTGGAAGGGTCAGGAGAAACAACAATCTTCTTTTGAAAGCATAGTCACATTAGCCACTATAATCAAAAAGAAGAGAACTAAGAAGAAAGTTGAGGCAAAAAAGAAGTGAGAAAGATGTTGAGAAAAACACATAATTTGCAAGTCTAGGATTTCAAAAAAGAACATTGAGATTACAAAATCACTTGGTCCTTAAAAATTCAATTTTTTTTTTAGGAGGCTTTGCATCCAAAAATTCTTGTAAAGATGTTGTTCCTTGATCCCGCTTGTTGATTAGCTAACAAGACTATTGTAAAGAGGGTTGTTACCTTCTTTAATCCCTCTCCTTTTTATAATTATTATAATAATAACAAGCCAATTAGATGACTTCATTTTCTTTGGATGTGCATGTAGTAACTTGAGGTGTGCTTGTAGAGTGAGCTAAAGTGAATAGATGCCATAAAATAAACCATATAAGTCTTTTATTACAAGTCCAAATATGAGAAAGATAAAAAAAAAATTATTTCTCATTTTGTTAATGGTTAATTTAAGCATTTTTTAAAACATTGCTTGTTAATTTTTTGTAAAATCCAACTCTTTTAGATAGATCCAAGAAACACTTTTAGAGACAATACTATTCATGTTATATATAAAAAATATATATTTTGACTTAACTTTTCTTCTTATAGTCTTTGAATTTATTTTTTAGAATATAAAGTCAATTTAAAGATGCTTCTTAATTTTAAACAATCAAAACATTTAAAGCCCCATTGCACTATATTTGAAGTAATTATATTTCTTTAAAATTGAAGTAACTACTTTATACAAAGAAGTAGCAAAAGATTGTACTTCATAAAAGTAGAAAAATTGTTCTTCTTGTTGGTTGAGACATTAGAGATAGATTCAATTTTTTTTTTTATAATTAATTAATTAATTTATTTATTTATGGAGAAACTTTTAAAGGCTATTTTAATACAATACTAATAGATTTGAATGTTCTTAAAAGAAGATTTGATACAATCTCACGATTTAAAAAATACAACTGATTTTTTCAATACTAATCTCAGATTGATGAAGATTTATTTGAATCAAATTTCATTTATTTATTTATTTATTTATTTATTATATTATCATTTATTCCCACTCATTTACCCAAGAATTCACAACAACTTCTTCTTCTTCTTCTTCTTCTTTTTGAGTTAAAGGTGATTTGTTTTTGGGTTTATTTTACTAACACCACTCTCATTTTTCTTTTCCTTCTTGATTGTTTTTCTTGAAACTCAATTTTTTATTGTTATTAATTAATTCATTAACTTTTTTTTTTTTTTTTTTTTTTTTTAGAAAATACTTTGAAAAAACACATATCAAGTACTAGTTTGATACTTACACTTGACAGAATTTTGACACATTTAGAACTCATAGAACAAAAAATATTAAAAATTTAAGTGAAATTCCACAATAAACAAAATCCCTAGGCAAGAAATAATAAACCAGTGTGAAGAGAGTAGAGCAAACCCAAAGAGTTTCTGTCATCAGAAAAAGTGAAGTGCTGGAAATGGCTCCCACTCAATCCCTCTGTTCACTACACATTTGCTTCACCACAAGTTTGCTTGAGCCGATCGAAAAAAAAACAAAAAATATATATATATAAAAAAAAAACAAAAAATATATATATATAAAAAAAAAACACACACACACACGCACAGTGAGGTATCCTCAGCAAGCAGTCGATCAGTCAGTCAGTGGTTCTATTGAGGCACAGGGTGTTGTGAGTTCATCCTCACGAGGCGAGATCCTCAATTTGCTTCGAGAGGAGAGGTGGGTGGATTTGATGTTATGGTTGCTGTATGTACTCTTTATTTTTTTTTTAATAGAATCTGTTGCAAGCAGCAGAAAGACGCGGCTTGCTTCAACCTATGATGAGAGTTTTGCGAAATTTTGTCGAATTTGAGTGCCTTGTTGCGGAGAGTTCAGTCGTTGTCCATCACGAGTTTTTCTCGCTTAGATTGTTATTGTAGTAGCATTGCGATCGAGTAAGAAAGTAGAAATTTCACCTAATTGTTGCATTGTTGTGGAGTGTGAGGGACAGTAATGACGGACAATAGCCCAGACATGAATCAGGTGCACGTCTTCTTCCATGAGGACATGCTGAAGCACAACAACGGTTATGGCGTTTTCGACACTTTCGAAGATCCAGGGTTTTTAGACGTCCTTGAACCTCACCCAGAAAATGCTGATCGCATCCGCAACATTCGATCTATTCTGCAGCGAGGACCCATTGCGCCTTTCATTACATGGCACGAGGGACGGCCATGCGAAATTGAAAGCTTAGAGAGGTTTCATACCCCAGGTTAGAACAAACCCCACCGTCACCTCCCCCACCCCCCTCGCTCTAAAATGAAAATAAATTTCTATGTAGTGGTTTTTTTGCAAGTGTCTCATCACTCAAGCCTCAGTGACTTCCAAATGTGAGGAGACAACTATGGATGCTGGCGAAGTTCTCTCACTAGCCAAACCTGGAGGGTTCAGTATCGTTCGAGTTTTACGCTGCTTTTAAACAAATTCCTATTTCCCAATCAGAAGGTCACTGATAATCGTTGAAACAGAACAACTTATGGTGGAAAACTTGTTTCGGAACTGCAGAGTACATTAAAGAGCTTATCGATGCTGATTCGGCCGGGGGGGAAATTATTTGCGCGGGCACGCGCCTGCATCCTGGGTCGTGGGCTGCGGCTCTCCTGGCTGCAGGGTCAGCACAACAAGCGATGCAATACCTCCTCGATGGCCATGGCCAGCTCGCATACGCCTTGGTACGACCCCCTGGTCACCATGCGCAGCCCACACAGGCTGATGGTTACTGTTTTCTTAACAATGCTGGAATCGCAGTGGAGCTCGCAGTTCATCAGGTCTGCAAAGTGACTACTTCCCCGCCTCTGCCAAAAGTGTTTCTTCACCCATCAATTGCAATCCACAGCTGTATGCTCTCTTAAGTTGTTCCAGATTTTCAACCACCTCTCGCCTTAAGAGCCTAGTGTTTGCTTGTTCCAATCCAGGGATGCAAGCGAGTGGTAGTGCTTGATATTGACGTACACTACGGCAATGGCACTGCCGAGGGGTTTTACTCCAGAAAAGACGTGTACACCATTTCTCTTCACATGAATCACGGCTCGTGGGGACCCTCTCATCCTCAGACGGGGCTGACAGACGAATGCGGGGAAGGACTAGGTAAGGGATTCAACTTGAACATACCTTTACCTAATGGGACCGGAAACAAGGGTTACGAGCATGCCATGACCGAGTTAGTGGTTCCAGCTATGGCGGAATTCAAGCCCGAGATGATCGTTTTGACTGTAGGTCAAGACTCGAGTGAGGTTAGTGGGATCATAAACTTGCAGCTTCAGTCGATTCTTCGATACCCATTTTGGAGGGTGATATTTCTCACCTTCTAAATATGAAGTTTTGTCCATGGTGCAGTTTGATCCGAATGGGAGGATGTGCTTGACGATGGAGGGCTATCGCCGGATCGGCCAAATTGTGAGGGAGTTCGCCGATGAGTATTCTGGCGGTCGTGTGCTTGTTGTCCAGGAAGGAGGATATCATGTATCATATTCGGCGTACTGCGTCCATGCGACATTGGAAGGTCTCCTTGATCTGCCAACACCACTGCTCGCGGATCCAATTGGGTACTATCCAGAGGACCAATCTTACTCCACAGCAAGGGTTGCAGAGATAAAGAGAAAGTTGAAAGGGTTGAAACGAGAGAGGAACGAGGAGAAGTAAATTCGAAGCAGGTAGCACTCATCTGATGAAGTTTGAGATAACATCAATAGTTGCTTGAAATCTTCAGTGCAAACTCAAGAAGAGCCACCCCGCAGATACTTTTTGACTGATGGAGATTGATGTTTTAGAAAGACGTTTCTTCGAATTCTCACAACGCAGTAAGAGTTTCAGCTGAAAACAATCGTGGAGGTTTCTTTCCAACTTTCTATTGTGGTGTATCTACATTAAGTCATAGAAGTAGAAACGAAAATGTCTAGTTTGACTGGAAAATGATCCTGAATGTTAGACCTCTCTACTGTGGATCTGTTTGGAGGTAATCCCCTTTTTTTTATCCGCCCTTAAACGTGTGACTGATCACGTAAAGGTTAATGGGTTTAAAAATTGATTATCAACAGAATTTCTAGAATTAAATCTAATGCAACTAATCAAGCAGAAGCATTTACTGATGATGGAATCGGTGCATTTAGTAGAGTCTGTGCAGTAGCAAGTTTTGTTGGCTCCAGGCAATGAATTTTTTCTTTCAAAGAAGATCAGCTTCTTTTTCTTCCCTTCTCCTGCACCAGCAAGCTACATTCTGTATCGAGAATACAAATGAAGGTCTTTCATTCAACATTGTATCGTTTTTTTTGTTTTTTTTTTCATATTCTAGTGCTAGCAAGTTTGAAATTCTAAAAATGTGTTCTTACCAAAAGAAAATTCACACCAAATATTTTTGCAAAACTTTGTGATTAAATGAAAGGAAACAAGAAGGCCTCTACAATTGCTAAGACCAGTGATGAAGAGCATAAAGATGTTGATGATGATGGTGATGAGGATTATGAACCTTTAAGTGAGAAAAGACTATCTTCAAAAGAAAAGAAGGTTGGAAGTGACCATGGAGTACAACAAGTTGAGTCTTCTTCAAATAAAAGGAGATATCCTTTGAGAGATAGAAGACAACGTGGTGAATAGTGGAAGGACCATATTTTTCCTCAAATAAATAAAGAACATACCAATGTTGCACTTCTTGCTGATCCATTGAGTTTATGAACTGCAATGAAGTCCATAGATGCTATGAAGTAAGAGAATGCTATGCAAGAAGAGTACAAATCATTCATGGACAATGGAACATGGGAATTGACTCAACTTCCACCAAATCGAGCTTCAATTGGTTGTAAGTAGGTGTCTAGAATCAAAAGAGACGCAATGGGTAATATTGTGAGATATAAGGCAAGATTAGTTGCCAAAGGCTACTTACAAGTTGCTGGTGTTGATTTCAATGAGATAATTGCTCCCGTGGCCAAATTCACCACCATTAGAATCATTGTGGCAATTGGGGCAATAATGGACTTAGAGATGCACCAAATGGGTATGAAGATGGCTTTCTTGAATGGAGAATTGGAAGAAGATATCTACATGGATCAAACTCAAGGATTTGTTGAAGAAAGCAAACAAGACCTTGTGTATAAGTTGAAGAAATCATTGTATGGGCTTAAGCAATCATTAAGGACATAGTACCAACGTATCGACACCTTCTTTGTGAATGAAGGATTTGTGAGGAGTGAGGCTGATCATTCCATGTATGTGATGCAATCAAAAGCCTTCTTGCTGATTGTTATTCTTTATGTTGATGATTTGATCATTTTGACCAATACTTTGAAAAAGATGGATTGGTTGAAGGCAAAGTTAACAAAAGAATTTGAAATGAGTAAATTGGGAGAGCTCTACTATTGCTTAGGAGTGGAATTTGTGAGAGATTGAGCTAAGAAGATCATTAAATTGACCCAAAAGAAGTACATTGAAGAAGTGTTGAAACGGTTCAACATGGAGGAGTGCAAGTCCATTGGAACATCTTTGGAGGTAAATTTGAAGTTGATGAAGCTCACGGTGTCGTACAATAAATGCTTACAGTATGTAAAAATTAGCTAAAATATGTTTTATGTTGATAAATCTAGATGTGTGTTAGAGTGGCTAGTAGATTAAATTAAAAGGAGTTGGTATAAGAAACTTTACTTTGTTTCTTTACTTCTTTTGATTTTGACATTAAAATATATATATATATATATATATATAGGACCTAAATGTTTAGTATGAAGCCTTGGGAGAAGGTGGAAACCTAAAGATGAAAATCTAAACTAGTAGGAGGCTAATTGGGAGGGATGAAAGCAAGGCATGGTCGGATGAAGGCAAAGAATGGGAAACTTCATCCCTATTGGTCGAATACTATGCCCAATGGGCTTTGAGGAGGCTGCCCGAGGCCTTATTAGGGATTAGGGTTCCTCTTTCGGAGGAATTAGGAAATCAGAGGCAAGGGTTGTAAAATTTAGGGTTTTGGCTATAATTTTTGTACAAATTTTATAGGGTTTGGAGTTAGGGTGAATAAGTTATAGCCGTTTGAAGTTAAGGTGTCAATTTGAGACCTACTTTTACTCTTTTGAGTTTAAGAGGAGTCTTACGGAAGCTTTTGGAGATCGGAAGGTGCGGCTGGAAGGGCAACTTCAAGACATACATCTTTTGCGAAGGAAATTTTGCATTTGGAGTTTATGTGAAGGAGTTATAGGGAGTTAAAGACAGCGCATTCAAATCAAAGGTAATAAGTGAGCGGTTTTGTTCAAAGTAGTGTTAGGAGCCATAACTTGAGTTTTCAAACGAAATTTTGGCTCAAACTTTGGAAGAATGTAAACATTTGTGTTAAGAAGCTATTTATACAAGTTTTGTGGCATTTGGACTTATGGTTTGTGAGATATGAAGAAAATTGCACGTGGGTATATAAAGATTAGGGTTTGAAGCGACTGTTAGGGTTTTGAAGATATCTCAAGATCCGCGACGAATTTGCAGTTGAAATTTGTTGTAAAAATTAATAACAACATATCAGTACTTCATGTAAATTTTGATCTTTTTTGGACGGTTGGATCAAGAGTTATGAGGTGTTGAGGTTCGGGAGAATTTCCACATAAGGATATACAAGGTTTTAAAGTACTTCTACCATAATTTTGGGTGTTGTTGATTATTTAAGACTTAAGTATTTGGTGTAATTGTTCCAAAAGGAGAAATTATATATATAAAATTAGGATTTTCTTATTTTAAGCTTGATTGAGCAATTAGTGACAGCCAGAAGCCCAGCGCTTTCTTGAGGCAAAACCTCTCTATCCCGACAACAGATGAGGAATTTACTGAAGCTGAAGAAGAAATGAAAGATGTTCCATACAAGGCAGTAGTAGGCTCACTTATATATGCAATGGTTGGTACAAGGATGGATCTTGCATATGCGGTGAGTGTTGTGAGTCAATACATGTCAAAGGCTGAACCAATTCATTGGCAACCATTAAGAAGATCTTGAGGTACTTAAAAGGTACTTTGAACTTCAAATTGTGTCTTGGAGGTGATAGTGTTACATTGCATGGATATTTTAATGCGGATTGGGCTGGAAATGCAAATGATAAAAGATCAACAATGGGATATGTATCCTTTGTTGGAGTGGGAGCAATTTCATCGAATTATAAGAGATAACCAATAATTGCAAGGTCTACAATGGAGACACAATACATGGTAGCAAGTCATGGTGCAATGGAGATAATATGGCTAAGACAAGTTTTAGAAGATATTGGACTTGTGCAATTGGAAGCAACTCCAATAAAGTGTAACAATCAAGGATGCCTTGCTTTTACCAAGAATCCAAAGCATTATTGACATTCAACATCACTTCATACTGGAAAAGATTGAGATGGGAGTAATTAACATGAAATATTGTGCAATGAAAGACATGCTTGTTGTTTTACTTACAAAAGCATTGGTGAAGGATAGAAATTATAAATTGACAAAGAGATTAGGTTTATTAGCCTTTGACCAATAGCAAAGTGGGAGTGTTAAAAGTAAATAGAGGATAAGTTAGAAGGTAAAAGATATTATCTTAGATAAGTTGCTAATAGTCAAAGGGCAGCAAAAAGATGAAGAAAAGTTACCAAGGTAGCGGCTAGGATTTTAAGTGGCGGCTAGGGTTATAGGTGGTAGCTAGATTAAGAAAAATCTAGGGTTTAGTTGGATGAAAGTAAGATGAATATTAGCTAAAATGGATGTAACCTCTACCTATAAGTAAAGGGTGTTGGAAGTGAGAGGTATCTCATTCCACACTTCTCTTGTATCTAACCTTGCTAATTTCTACTTATTTGTATCTTGCTTATTGTGTTTCTTCAATAATTGTTACCACAGAGTGTCAAGCAATATTATATTGGATTGTGGGCCACAATTTGTATCAAGGTTTTGAAAGGAACTTTTCAAGATTCTTAAGATTAACATCAACTTTTTTTCTACCTTCCACCTTCAAATTGATGGCCAAACAAGGCAAATCAACTAAATTCTTGAGCATTATTTGAGGTACACTATCAACTATTAATAAAATGATTGGAATTTCTACTTATCATTAACAAAGTTTCTATATAACAACACAATTCATGTATCTACACAATAAATGTCATTCTACTCAAACTACGGTCACCATCCAAAGTTGGATATGATAGAACCTTCAAAGTTGGCAAATCCAAGAGTAGAAGAGTTTGCTACAAAGATGGCGAAACTTCAAGCAACCATGAAGACTCACCTAAAAAGAACTCAATAATATTATAAGCTACTGGCAGATGAATTGAAGAAGGAACATCCTCCATTCCAAGTTGGTGACAAAGTATGGCTTCTTTGGCACAATATAAAAACTAATAGACCATGTGATAAGTTGGACTATCAAAGGCTGGCACCATTTGTGATTCAAAAACAAATTAATTATATAACTTATTGCTTGGAGTTACCTTCATCTATAAAGATTCATCCAATCTTTTATATTTTACTTTTAAAAAGGTATAAAAGAATCGAATATACCAAGTCCAAGATAATTACCCCCTCCTATGGTTGAAATCAATGATCATGTTGAATTTGACATAGAAGAGGTATTAGATTCAAAGATAAGACAACAAAGATTCAAATATCTTGTCCATTGGCATAGATGTGATATCAATGATTACATATGGTAACCAGTTGACAACCTTATAAATGCACAAATAAAAGTTCAAAAGTTCCATCAACGACATCCATCCAAATCAAAAGTGACAAAATGTAGAACAGTAGCTTAGTAAGATGGCTTCACTATGAAGATTCTTAATTCTTGGCCTCTTAAAGAAGGGGAGGAGGCAACCTTTGAAGAGGCAATCTTTGTCAAATGTTTAGAATAGTATAAGTTAGTAGTTTGAGTTCACAACCATAGCCTGTTTATATTCTTTTGGTCTTGTTTATTTTATATGATATAGATAGTCAAGAGATAGACACCTTGCCGATTATACCATCTCAACCAAGTAGTTCACGGAGACAAGTTTGAGATGAAGAGCCGTTTGAACCATGAAGATGTCAAAGAAAATCTTATAATAAGTCACTAGTAATTATGTTTGAGGTAGAACTTACATAAAGGACTTTTAGAAATAATGTT